GATTCCTTATTAAGATGTCGGAATGCTGTTCTGAGGTTTGCTAGGCGCCCATATGCTGCAGCAGTTATTTGGTTGATGTGCGCTTCAGGAGATGTGCCTGGTGTGTGTGTGTGTGTGTGTGTGAGTACTCACCTAATTGTGGTTGCAAGGGTCGAGACTCAGCTCCTGGCCCCACCTCTTCACTGATTGCTACTAGGTCCTCTCTCTCTCTCTGCTTCCTGAGCTTTGTCATACCTCATCTTAAACCTATGTATGGTTCCTGCCTCCACTACATCACTTGCTAGGCTATTCCACTTCCTGACGACTCTGTGACTGAAGAAATACTTCCTAACATCCCTGTGACTCGCCCGAGTCTTCAGCTTCCAATTGTGACCCCATGTTTCTGTGTCCCCTCTCTGGAACATTCTGTCTCTGTCCACCTTGTCTATTCCACGCATTATTTTGTATGCTGTTATCATGACCCTCCTGTCCTCCAGTGTCGTCAGTCCGATTTCCCTCAACCTTTCTTTGTAGGACATTCCCCTGAGCTCCAAAACTAGCCTTGTTGCAAACCTTTGTACTTTCTCTAATTTCTTGACGCGCTTGACCAGGCGTGGGCTCCAAACTGGTGCTGCATACTCCAGTATGGGCTTGACGTACACAGTGTAGTGTCTTAAACGATTCCTTACTAAGGTATCGTAATGCTATTCTTAGGTTTGCCAGGCGCCCATATGCTGCAGCAGTTGTCTGGTTGATGTGTGCCTCCGGAGGCGTGCTCGATGTTATGGTCACACCAAGATCTTTCTCCTTGAGTGAGGTTTGCAGCCTTTGTCCACCTAGCCTATACTCTGTCTGCAGTCTTCTTTGCCCTTCCCCAATCTTTATGACTTTGCATTTGGCAGGGTTGAATTCGAGAAGCCAGTTGCTGGACCACATGTCCTGCCTGTCCAGGTCTCTTTATAGTCCTGCCTGATCCTCATCCGATTTAATCCTTCTCATTAACTTCACATCATCTGCGAACAGGGGCAGTTCAGAGTCTATCCCTTCCATCATGTCATTCACATACATCAAAAATAGCACTGGTCCTAGGACTGACCCCTGTGGGACCCCGCTCGTCACAGGCACCCACTGTGATACCTCATCACGTACCATGACTCGTTGTTGCCTCCCTGTCAGGTATTCTCTGATCCATTACAGTGCCCTTCCTGTTATACGCGCCTGATCCTCCAGCTTCTGCACTAATCTCTTGTGAGGAACTGTGTTGAAGGCCCTCCTGCAGTCCAAGAAAATGCAATCAATCCACCCCTCTGTGCGTGTGTGTGTGTCTCTCTCTCTCTCTCTCTCCAGGTTTAGTTCTGGATAGTTTAACAGATGTAGAAGGCACAATGGTGTGCATAATACAAAGTTCAGTGGGAAAAGTGACTGCTGAAAAGTAACAAGCCAAGCTAGCTAGCATTATCTCTGACTATAGCTACAAACCTGAGCAAGTGCTGAGGAGTCAGGCTTGTTCTGAAAGAAGATGCACTCTAGAACATACATCAGCAAACAAGAGAAAACTACTCTTGGACTTAAGGCCAAAAAAGACTAATTGAGCTTGCTTCTATGCAGTGATGCTTGTTTATCACTCCAAGAATCCCAGTGCTTTAAAAGGTAAAGACAACAGCACACTGCCTATTATTTGGAAGTCCAACACCGTGGCATGAGTGACTTGAGGCCTTCACTGAGTAATTCAACATCACTGTATTCCTGAAATGAGGATGTACCTGTCCTGAAAAATCTTGCATTCAGGGATCTCATCCTTGGTAATTGTCATAGTCTACCTCAACTCCTGGAGAATGTGGAGTCTGGTGTCAAGATTGTCATTTTACCACCAAATACAACATTCTAGATACAATTACTGGATCAAGGAGTTATCAAAACATGTAAGTGTCACAATGCATGCAATGTGGTGTATAAACTAGCAGCAACAAATGATGAAGCAGACGGTTTGGCACAAATTTAATATTGCATATGCACTCCCCTATGTGAAAAATGCATGGGATCATGTACAAAAATCAATAAAAATTGCTGGCTGGAGAAAAACATGGCTCAGTATGTGAATGGTTTTGGAATGGTTTTGCTGGTCTTTCAAAATTGCTAAGTGAAGTTCAAGAAATTTTTGATCTGACAGAGAATCAGGTGAAGGATTTGAAGATATGCAAGCCAGATGACATCAATGAACTCTTGGAATATGATGCTAGGAAATCAACTGCACAAAAAATGTTGCAGGAATTAAAATCCCAGGTACAAAGAGCAGAAGAAAATGAGGAAGAAGAACCTGAACTTGAACAGTAGATGAAAACTGTTGGTAAACTTGCAGTATTGTTGTAAAGCATGCTCTGGAAAAGGCAGCTGGGCCTTACTGTCTGATGTATAACGAACTGCAGGGTAAAACAAATCAGCAGCACATGACAGAGTACCTGAGGACTCCACTACAACAAATCAACTGATGAAGCTACACCAACATTACACAATCCCCATCCTTCAACATGACAAGATCACCAACCTGCAATCTCAGTCCAGTAGGGCCACAGTCACCCTCTCCACTCACTTCAAACTGTTAGGCATACCAAACTTTACTTGAAGGTAAATAACAAATAATATATTGTATCACTAACTATTTTTTAGCTAACATCTTGTAGGAGTGAGGAAGAGCCAGTTGTGAGTGTGGGGGAAGTTCGTGAGGCAGTAGGTAAAATGAAAGGGGGTAAAGCAGCCGGGATTGATGGGATAAAGATAGAAATGTTAAAAGCAGGTGGGGATATAGTTTTGGAGTGGTTGGTGCAATTATTTAATAAATGTATGGAAGAGGGTAAGGTACCTAGGGATTGGCAGAGAGCATGCATAGTTCCTTTGTATAAGGCAAAGGGGATAAAAGAGAGTGCAAAAATTATAGGGGGATAAGTCTGTTGAGTGTAACTGGTAAGGTGTATGGTGGAGTTATAATTGAAAAAGAATTAAGAGTAAGACGGAGAATAGGGATAGCAGATGAACAAGGAGGCTTTAGGAAGGTAGGGGGTGTGTGGACCAGGTGTTTACAGTGAAACATATAAGTGAACTAGTATTTAGATAAGGCTAAAGAGGTCTTTGTGGCATTTATGGATTTGGAAAAGGCGTTATGACAGGGTGGATAGGTGGGCATGTGGCAGATGTTGCAAGTGTATGGTGTAGGAGGTAGGTTACTGAAAGCAGTGAAGAGTTTTTACGAGGATAGTGAGGCTCAAGTTAGAGTATGTAGGAAAGAGGGAAATTTTTTCCAGTAAAGGTAGGCCTTAGACAAGGATGTGTGATGTCACCGTGGTTGTTTAATATATTTATAGATGGGGTTGTAAGAGAAGTAAATGCGAGGGTCTTGGCAAGAGGCGTGGAGTTAAAAGATAAAGATATCACACACAAAATGGGAGTTGTCACAGCTGCTCTTTGCTGATGACACTGTGCTCTTGGGAGATTCTGAAGAGAAGTTGCAGAGATTGGTGGATGAATTTGGTAGGGTGTGCAAAAGAAGAAAATTAAAGGTGAATACAGGAAAGAGTAAGGTTATGAGGATAACAAAAAGATTAGGTGATGAAAGATTGAATATCAGATTGGAGGGAGAGAGTATGGAGGAGGTGAACGTATTCAGATATTTGGGAGTGGACGTGTCAGCGGATGGGTCTATGAAAGATGAGGTGAATCATAGAATTGATGAGGGAAAAAGAGTGAGTGGTGCATTTAGGAGTCTGTGGAGACAAAGAACTTTGTCCTTGGAGGCAAAAGGGGAATGTATGAGAGTATAGTTTTACCAACGCTCTTATATGGGTGTGAAGCGTGGGTGATGAATGTTGCAGCGAGGAGAAGGCTGGAGGCAGTGGAGATGTCATGTCTGAGGGCAATGTGTGGTGTGAATATAATGCAGAGAATTCGTAGTTTGGAAGTTAGGAGGAGGTGCGGGATTACCAAACTGTTGTCCAGAGGGCTGGGGAAAGGGGTTGTTGAGGTGGTTCGGACATGTAGAGAGAATGGAGCGAAACAGAATGACTTCAAGAGTGTATCAGTCTGTAGTGGAAGGAAGGCGGGGTAGGGGTCGGCCTAGGAAGGGTTGGAGGGGAGGGGGTAAAGGAGGTTTTGTGTGCGAGGGGCTTGGACTTCCAGCAGGCATGCGTGAGCGTGTTTGATAGGAGTGAATGGAGACAAATGGTTTTTAATACTTGACGTGCTGTTGGAGTGTGAGCAAAGTAACATTTATGAAGGGATTCAGGGAAACCGGCAGGCCGGACTTGAGTCCTGGAGATGGGAAGTACAGTGTCTGCACTCTGAAGGAGGGGTGTTAATGTTGCAGTTTAAAAACTGTAGTGTAAAGCACCCTTCTGGCAAGACAGTGATGGAGTGAATGATGGTGAAAGTTTTTCTTTTTCGGGCCACCCTGCCTTGGTGGGAATCGGCCAGTGTGATAATAAAAAAAAAAAAAAAAAAAAAAAAATGTCCTCTTTATTTTAACTATTTACTAGAGTTCAGATATTTCCCCGAGCATGAACAGTGACAAAATTAAGTAGGAAAAAGGATTGTTTTTTGAAGAATTATTATAGTAAAAAAATTTGTTTGGGCTTTTTGGAGGTTTGAAGAACACAACCCTATTTTTCCTATGTGTTTCTCAGTTCATAAATCGTGGAAATCACTGGTAGCACAATTTCCAAGAATGTAACTTGCACAAATTATGAATGTCCGCTATATATTGGGTTTGCAAGGACACCATTATTAATGGTTTACATGAGTGCACAGTACTGTACTAATCTTGAACATTTCAAACCTGCTGCTCTCTAACATGGACATTCAAGAAGAAACCGGATACCACTTACAATGTAACCAAGAAGTGAAAACTAGCCTTCATTAAGAGGTATAATTACTCCACAGTGCATCAACAACCTCCTTATTGGTCAGACACTGGATTAGCTGATCCACATTGGTTTCATGCATTATGAAATTCAATACAATACAGTACTTACTCTACAGTGAGGGTGGCACTACGCTCTACTTTGCGCAGCGCTTCCTGGGCTTCGGTGAGGGAACAGCGGGTCAAGTCTCGTCCATCTACAGCAATGAGGCGGTCTCCAGCTTTGATTGTCCCCTCTCTACCAATAAATTACATAGGTCAAATTTCTCCCAATATTTTCAATGTTAAGGATTTTTCAATAACTTTTTTTTTTAAATTAAAAGTATTATAGCTACTTAAAAGTAAAAATTTACTTTAAGCCTGGGTGTTTTTTTATTATGCAAATTCTCAAGAATAAGGTACACTGGGATGGAGATATTTATATTTAGTAACAAGTATCTTCACCAGGTGCCAGATCAACCAGGTTGTGAAGGATACGTGGAGCAGCAGGCCTCCAACCGCAACAGCCTGGTTGACCAGGACAGCACCAGATGAGCCTGGCTCATGGCTGGGACCGAGTGTAGCAAGATTCTCGAAACTAATCAAAGGTAACCTAATGTTACCCAACCTACCCTAACCGAAAATTTAACAGGTGGTCTAGGTGAGGTTTGGTTTTGTTGTGTTACATTATTAAATTTACTTATCTAAATCACTTCTTTTTCCTTTTTGTCCAAAATAACCCTCGATTAATAAAACTGAATTTTTATAAATGATATTCACATGCAAACAAACAAAACAATAAAGTTTATTTCTTTGCAAAGGTTACAATGTGTGTTTACATTTAATAATCTGATTGGTACAAAGAAAGCCACCATCATGCTGAGGCATTTCGGGCAGAAATAACCTATACTTTACCCTTTGACTGTTTCTGACATATATATATACATCTTACGAGCCAGCGTTTTTGACATATTTATACTCCACAATTCTAGTGGCTTCAAATCAAATGGAAGAAAGCTGGTAGACCCACAAGCGAGAGAATGGGTCTGTGTGGTTAGTGTGCGCAGTATAAAGAATCCTGCAGCACGCAGTGCACAATGAGAAAAAAAAAAACTGACCGTGTTTTTGGATTAAAACGCCAAATTTAAGGTGTGTTTTCTTTTAGTATTTATGGTTGTATTCTCGTTTTCTTGGTCTCATTTAACAGAATGGAAGACATATCACAGAAATAGAGATGATTTTGATTGGTTTCATTATGAAAAGAACCTTGAAATTGAGCTCAAAATAGTGGAAATGTTCGATTTTTGCCGATGTTCAAAAGTAAATGTCCAACCAGCCATTCTAATATGCAGTCAAGAATGGGTTGACATTATTTATACAGTTATTACAATAATGCAGTAGTCTGCATAACAGTAAATCTTCTATTTATGTGAATAAAAATTCAAAATAGAAAGCAAGAGTAATATAAGAGGAGCCTGGAGATGTGACTGATGAACAGAGAAAATGTTATTCTAGTGCCAGGAATATCTGCACTGTTCATTCTGGACCCTATTCTGAAAATGGCATTTTTTTTAATTTGCATGAAATTGGCCAAATTGCCAATTTCTGACCATTTTATTGGGTAGTTGAAATCAGTAAATGGGCAGTTTCTTGTACTCAATCGATAGAACAAATGGAGTTCTAAAGAAATAGCTATGAGTTTGGTCGACTGGAACAGTGCAATTGGCTGAAAATAGGGCTCAAAGTGGGCGAAACTGCCGATGCGTAAATATCGCCAAGATCGCTAACTTCACAAGAGCATAATTCCGTAAGTTTTTAACCAAATTTCATATTTTTGGTGTCATTACCAACAGGAAAAGATTCTCTATCATTTCATGATAAAAAATTTTTTTTTTTAATTCTTTGACAACGAGAGCAAGTTTGTGAGCAGGGGTATCGACAGTCAAATGGTTGTTAAAAACAATTTAAGTCTAGACAGATAAAGAGTGGCAAATTTCAAATGTTCAATATTTTACTCTATTATTAATATGAGCTAGTACAATTTATGATAGAAACATACATTTTTAGGTAATAAAATATTTGGGAGAGTTGCTTCAAATTTGGGTAGAGATTAGCATAGTGTGGGTATAGTTATTATTATTGGTTATTATTATTGACAGTATTTTGACTATTATTAATAAATAATCAATTTGCACAAAAAAATAACTTTTTCTCGTGGAATTGATAACACATTACAGTGGACCCCCGCATAACGATCACCTCCGAATGCGACCAATTATGTAAGTGTATTTATGTAAGTGCGTTTGTACGTGTATGTTTGGGGGTCTGAAATGGACTAATCTACTTCACAATATTCCTTATGGGAACAAATTCGGTCAGTACTGGCACCTGAACATACTTCCGGAGTGAAAAAATATCGTTAACCGGGGGTCCACTGTATTTATAAGATAAAATATTAACAGATTGTTGTCCTGAAAAAATGGGTGATAATGATCTACTTGAAGAGTAAAAGGCACAGGAAAATATTGTACAATATTACTACAGTTCCCAAAAATTTCCCTTTAACCCTTAAACGGTCCAAACGTATATATACGTTCATGCGCGTAGCGCCCCAAACGTATATATACGTTTTCTTTGTCATTCATTCAACATTGCCACAATAAGCCTGAGTCACCTAGACATGAGAGAATGGGTGTGCGCACTCACTCTGTGCCATATTAAAATAATTGGGGATGCCTGGGAACCATATGCTCTTTTTTTCCTTTTAAAAGAAAGGATTTTTTTTCCTCAAAAAATTTGGGGCGCTACGCGAGTGAACGTATATATACGTTTGGACCGTTTAAGGGTTAAGAAACTTTGCAACTGAAATTTTTTTTATAGGGTAGAATGTGCTAATGTGTATCTTTTATTTAGAATCTTTTAAAACTGTTTTAAAACTGAAGACTGAGTCTTATTCCTATGTGGCTGAACAATGCCCACTTTACTGAAGTACTGTATAAACAGTGATAAAACTGACCTGTCAGCAGGACCACCTGGCCTAACATGGGTAATTATAAGTGGCCTGGACTTGGTGGTATCATGAGAGGACCCACCTCTCACTGTAAACCCAAAGCTGCCCTCTTCCTTCTCCAATACCACTCCTACTGTCCTAGCCAACACGCACCCACTACCCTGCACCGCTGTAGCAAGAAAATAAAAATTATTATTATTAGCTAATTATTATTATTAATTAAAATATAATTTTATAAAATATATATTCATATTCACATTGTTTATTTGGACATGATGCATAGTTGTACAAGGAATTATAGTAGTTGGGTGTACATGCCAAAAGCCCCTTGTATGCAGAGCAATATGGGCAGGTTTAAAATTAACTTAAAATTAACAACCAATGAAAGGTTCAGTGTTAAAAATTGCAGTAAACAATTTACAATATGAAGTACAATTGAGTACTATTTGAAAAAATGAAGGAGGGGTGTTAATGTTGCAGTTTAAAAACTGTAGTGTAAAGCACCCTTCTGGCAAGACAGTGATGGAGTGAATGATGGTGAAAGTTTTTCTTTTTCGGGCCACCCTGCCTTGGTGGGAATCGGCCAGTGTGATAATTAATAATAAAAAAAAAAAAAAAAATTATATATATATATATATATATATATATATATATATATATATATATATATATATTATATATATATATATATATAATATATATATATATATATATTATATATATATATATATATATATATATATATATATATATATATATATATATATATTATATATATATGCAAAACAACCACTCTGAAAGAATAGAGAAATTCCAAGCGCTTTCGTGACTACTCACATTATCAATGTGAGTAGTCACGAAAGCGCTTGGAATTTCTCTATTCTTTCAGAGTGGTTGTTTTGCACATTCTGAAACCACCTGTTTACTGTGATCTTATTGCATATATATATATATATATATATATATATATATATATTATATATATATATATATATATATATTATATATACACACACACACACACACACACACATACACAGTGGAACCTCTACTTAAGTGTGCATCCGCATGCGAGTTTTTCCAGATATGGGCAGCTGCTCGGTCAATTTTTTGCTCCCAGACGCGAGCAAAATTTCCAGATGCGAGTGGGCCTCAAGGGAGGTTAATAGACACTGGTGAGGAGGCTCTTGATCTTGATCTAGGGAATTGGATCTCAGTTCTTTGTTGGACTATCTTATTGAAACTTGGGCAATGTATGATGAAAAGATGCTTCTCAACGTACACCAAAAATGAAAGAAATCAGACCATAAATAACAGAGTTTACTTCTCAGCCATTAGCCTCCCGTGAGCGATATATTTTCATATGGTTTTTATGGTTGTATTCTCGTTTTATTTGGTCTCATGTGATAGAATGGAAGATATACTACAAAAGTAAATATGATTTTAATTGGTTTCACCATGAAAAGTACCTTGAAATTGAGCTCAAAATGGCAGAAATGTTCGATTCTTTGGCGACATCACTGGTAGACATCATGAGGTAGCAGTGGCACGCAACATGAAGCAGCAGTGTCAGACATGAAGCAACAGTGTCAGACATCATGAGGTAGTAGTGGCAGACAACATGAAGCAGCAGTGGCAGACATCATGAGGTAGAAGTGGGGCAACATGAAGCAGAAGTGGCAGACAACATGAAGCAACAGTGTCAGACATCATGAGGTAGCAGTGGCAGACAACATGAAGCAGCAGTGGCAGACATCATGAGGTAGCAGTGGCAGACAACATGAAGCAGCAGTGACAGACAACATAAAGCAGCAGTGGCAGACAACATGAAGGAGCAGTGACAGACAACATAAAGCAGCAGTGGTAGACAACATAAAGCAGCAGTGGCAGACAACATGAAGCACCAGTGGCAGACAACATGAAGGAGCAGTGACAGACAACATAAAGCAGCAGTGACAGACAACATGAAGCAGCAGTGGCAGACAACATGAAGCAGCAGTGGCAGACAACATGAGGTAGCAGTGGCAGACAATATGCAGCAGCAGTGACAGACAACATGAAGGAGCAGTGACAGACAACATAAATCAGCAGTGGCAGACAACATGAAGCAGCAGTGGCGGACAAAATGAAGCAGTAGTGACAGACAACATGAAGGAGCAGTGACAGACAACATGGAGCAGTGGCAGACAACATGAGGTAGCAGTGGCAGACAACATGAAGCAGCAGTGACAGACATGAGGTAGCAGTGGTAGACAACATGAAGCAGCAGTGGTAGACAACATGAAGCAGCAGTGGCAGACAACATGAAGCAGCAGTGGCAGACATCATGAGGTAGCAGTGGCAGACAACATGAAGCAGCAGTGGCAGACAACATGAAGCAGCAGTGGCAGACAACATGAAGCAGCAGTGGCAGACAACATGAAGCAGCAGTGGTAGACAACATGAAGCAGCAGTGGCAGACAACATGAAGCAGCAGTGGCAGACATCATGAGGTAGCAGTGGTAGACAACATGAAGCAGCAGTGGTAGACAACATGAAGCAGCAGTGGCAGACAACATGAAGCAGCAGTGGTAGACAACATGAAGCAGCAGTGGCAGACAACATGAAGCAGCAGTGGCAGACATCATGAGGTAGCAGTGGTAGACAACATGAAGCAGCAGTGGGAGACAACATGAAGCAGCAGTGACAGACAACATGAAGCAGCAGTGACAGACAACATGAAGCAGCAGTGACAGACAACATGAAGCAGCAGTGGCAGACAACATGAAGCAGCAGTGACAGACAACATGAAGCTGCAGTGACAGACAACATGAAGCAGCAGTGACAGACAACATGAAGCAGCAGTGGCAGACATGAGGTAGCAGTGACAGACAACATGAAGCAGCAGTGGTAGACAACATGAAGCAGCAGTGGCAGACAACATGAAGCAGCAGTGGCAGACATCATGAGGTAGCAGTGGTAGACAACATGAAGCAGCAGTGGGAGACAACATGAAGCAGCAGTGACAGACAACATGAAGCAGCAGTGACAGACAACATGAAGCAGCAGTGACAGACAACATGAAGCAGCAGTGGCAGACAACATGAAGCAGCAGTGGCAGACAACATGAAACAGCAGTGGCAGACAACATGAAGCAGCAGTGGCAGACAACATGAAGCAGCAGTGACAGACAACATGAAGCAGCAGTGGCAGACAACATGAAGCAGCAGTGACAGACAACATGAAGCAGCAGTGGCAGACATCATGAGGTAGCAGTGGCAGACAACATGAAGCAGCAGTGGCAGACAACATGAGGTAGCAGTGGCAGACAACATGAAGCAGCAGTGACAGACAACATGAGGTAGCAGTGGCAGACAACATGAGGTAGCAGTGGCAGACAACATGAAGCAGCAGTGGCAGACAACATGAGGTAGCAGTGGTAGACAACATGAAGCAGCAGTGGCAGACAACATGAAGCAGCAGTGGCAGACATCATGAGGTAGCAGTGGTAGACAACATGAAGCAGCAGTGGTAGACAACATGAAGCAGCAGTGGTAGACAACATGAAGCAGCAGTGGTAGACAACATGAAGCAGCAGTGGTAGACAACATGAAGCAGCAGTGGCAGACATCATGAGGTAGCAGTGGTAGACAACATAAAGCAGCAGTGGCAGACAACATGAAGCAGCAGTGGCAGACAACATGAAGCAGCAGTGGCAGACATCATGAGGTAGCAGTGGTAGACAACATAAAGCAGCAGTGGCAGACAACATGAAGCAGCAGTGGCAGACAAACATGAAGCAGCAGTGGCAGACATCATGAGGTAGCAGTGGCAGACAAAAATGAAGCAGCAGTGGCAGACACATGAAGCAGCAGTGGCAGACATCATGAGGTAGCAGTGGTAGACAACATGAAGCAGCAGTGGCAGACAACATGAAGCAGCAGTGGTAGACAGTATGAGGTAGCAGTGACAGGCAACATGAAGCAGCAGTGACAGACATGAGGTAGCAGTGGCAGACAACATGAAGCAGCAGTGACAGACAACATGAAGCAGCAGTGGCAGACATCATGAGGTAGCAGTGACAGACAACATGAAGCAGCAGTGACAGACAACATGAAGCAGCAGTGACAGACAACACAAAGCAGCAGTGGCAGACAACATGAAGCAGCAGTGACAGACATGAGGTTGCAGTGGCAGACAACATGAAGCAGCAGTGACAGACATGAGGTAGCAGTGGCAGACAACATGAAGCAGCAGTGGCAGACATCATGAGGTAGCAGTGGCAGACAACATGAAGCAGCAGTGGCAGACAACATGAAGCAGCAGTGGCAGACAACATGAAGCAGCAGTGGAAGACAGTATGAGGTAGCAGTGACAGACAACATGAAGCAACAGTGGTAGACAACATGAAGCAGCAGTGGTAGACAACATGAAGCAGCAGTGGCAGACATCATGAGGTAGCAGTGGTAGACATCATGAGGTAGCAGTGACAGTTTAGTTTAGTTTAATATGTTTATTATGCACCCCATTCCCATCCTGTGGGTGGTAGTCAAAAGATTACAAAGGTACATAATGGGTCCAGGGACACAGTGACAGACAATATGAAGTAGCAGTGGCAAAGTGTAGCATTAAGAGTGTAGCAATTAAGTGAAGCATTAAGAGTGTAGCACTTATAAGTCACTCTGTCTGACTTTTTTGGGTTATCCTAGGTTCTCTACACATGTAGTCAGGAGCAGGAATGACCACTGTGGTGGCCCTATAAACCCCAACAACAATGGCTGCTGTCACCACCACTAGCCACATACCTAATGACATGTATTTTATTCATTTTAGTGTATATATCATGTTTCTATCCTATTAGTATTGTTTATTATGTCATATTACATGAATTGTGATAGATAAATAAGCTGTAGAGTTGATATTAGGGAAATTATTAAAGTATTTTATCGTGCCTGGAATTCCACTGGAATGAATTAATTCCATTTCAATTAATTTAAATGAGGAAAATTGACTCTGCAAACAATCAAATCCAGTTGTGAGAAAGGTCATGAAATGGATTAAACTCATAAGTAGAGGTTCCACTGTATGTATGTATGTGTGTGTATGTGTGTGTATGTATATATATATATATATATATATATATATATATATATATATATATATATATATATATATATATATAATATATAT